AAAAATAAATAAATAAGAAAACTTTAATGGGCTTAGAAGAAATTGCGAAGAATGGAAAAAATATGTGCATTATACAAATTATATTTATATAAAATATGAATGAGGTGAAGAACACATCTTTCAGTATGCCGAAGCTTAAATACCCTTGCAAGCATAAAGTATTTAGTAGAAGCATTAGTTTTTCATTTAGAGCATGAGCTACTTTAGTGTTTCACTTATTCTTGAAGATCCAAAAAGTATGCTATGAATATTTACTACATATAGCAACTCTACACAAACGATCGCACTTGACAGTGCGAGTCAAGATATTAAATTCTGTGATAATGTTTTGTATATATTCCAAATTATTAGCTATGAAAATAGAGTACCCTCTCTGCGTATTTTAAAACTGTTTAAATACCTAATAATTCAGTTTATTATACAATATTAGCTAAAGCCCAATTTTATATCATATTCATTTTTTGACTGTTTTTTATCGTTGACATAGTCCAATTTTACGCTGAGCTTAACAATTTAAGCACATAAATGATAATGTCCATTGCAAGAGTATGGAAAGAGCTCTTGACCCACATATTTTATGCATTGCACTCGTATCTCTAAGCACACACACACACGCATATCACTCTAGGCAAAACCCAATTTGGGTTTGCGCATCACTTTACAAAAATGGAGATAAAATTATTCTCTCTCTCTTTTTTTGCAGTCAAAGGATATGCAAAGCAAACCAAAAGAACGTGAAACAGATGCAGCCAGCGGGCTTTAAGGGACTTAACTCTGATTAAAAAGCATTTCGCGTTTGCGTCTTTGAATTAAAAATAAAAATAAAAAAAAATTGAAAATCAAATAAAAATATAAATAATTAATTTGAATAACAAATTTACATTAATTTAACAATGTGTTTCATATGTGCGCACTAAATGATTAAGGGATTTGTTACTTCAACTCCTTAAATAGTGCTTGGGCAAGTGTTTACAATTTTGGGCATGCGGCTGCTGTTACCACAACTGTTGCATGCAACATGGATGGCGAAAATCGGATTATATTAAATGTGGGCGGAATTAGGTGAGTGCATTTTAGGTTATAAGTTATATTTCTTATCATATTTTAGGAAAATGCTTTATGAAGATGAATCAAAATATGTTTTGATGATAAAATGTGAAGGTTTACTCCTTTCATGCAAATATGAACAATTTAATCTACAATATATTTAATTCCAAATCACATAATATATTTGTACCACTTCAGAGATATACAAGGAGAGAGAGGGCGGTATAGATTAAACATCTGCAATTTTTATTTGGTAATTTTCGCAATGCGGTTGCGTAAAGCAGATTAATTTTTATTGCTACCAATATACATGTCACTTGTAACAAGTTTTTTCTGCCGACCGCATTGTAAAATGAACTACATTGATTTTGCGTATATTTGCATATTTTTTTATTCATTTGAGAAAACAACAAACCACAAATCGCTACAAAAAAATTAACTGAGATATGTAAATCGGATTGTAGTTCCGGTAGAGCAGAAATATATTTACATGTATACATTTGTGGATAAAATTACAATGAAACAAGCCTTGTTTATTACATATATTTTTTATTATATATGTATATGGTTTAGGTTGAGTTTTGTATCAATATAATATTGAATAATTTATACGATTTTGATATTTGAGACTAGAAAATGTGATACGATAATATTATTCAAAATTTTATTGACAAATAATTTTAAGAGCAAAAACCCCAAAAAATAGCAAGTAAGAAAGCTCTAAACACGCATAGGCTGCAGTGTGCGCTTACTATGASAACTTAATTGTTTAATAACTTTTTTATGGACACACGATCTTCATGAAGAATCGTAATTATAGCCATAATATGCCTGCACTTGCCAAAGCACAAGTCTCTAGTATTTGAAATACGCCTTTTACAAAAGTGAGGGATGTAGCTCTAAAGATGTAGGAGATATAATTTTATAACTGATTTTCGAAAGGGTTTTATCGATAAAAATATCGGGATACGTTATCGATTTTTAATGATAAAATCGATATCCGCGCTGTAAATATGGAAATTTAAAAAAAAATTTTGAAGTCTCTAGCTCTTATATCTTCTGAATTCGACGCGTTCATACATACGGACAGACGGACAGGACCAAATCAACTCAGCTCGTCGCCCTGACCAAGAATATATATACTTTGTGGGGTCTGCCACGCCTCCCTCTGCCTGTTACATACATTTCAAGAAAACCATTATACCCTGACTTCCCATTGAAAATGGGTTCAGGGTATAATAATAATATATACAAAAAATAAATAAATACAAATAAAAAAAATAAAAAAATCATACATATTTACATACATATATATTTTTTTTATTAAAAAAAGTTGCGAAAAAAAGTTGTCTTTCTTCATATTGTAGTTTTTTTTTTTAAGTCTATGATATATCATCAATATCATGTCAATAAATATTCGAATCATTTTTTTTTACTAATCCTAAATTGAGTATATACGAATATAAATATTATTATATGTATTTTTTTTTATGTATGCACATACACAGATGAAGATAATACAGTATAACAATATGAACAACAGACTCCCTGCTTCACAAGCACAAACAGAGCATAAAATTTTATCTTCTAAAGTTTTTTTTTAGCTTGAAGATTACTTCAGTTATGCTGTGGCAAAAATGCTTTAGCTGAGGCCTCATCACAAAACGTCTTAACTCAACTCAGCTTTCATATATAATATATACATATATATAAATATGGTATGCTTTTTTTATTGCGATATTGATTTACACATGAAAATCGTTTCACGTTGCGTTTCTTTTTTCGGCCCAAGTGGAACATGCTGGGAAGTACTGAGCACTCATGTACGAGTAGGGGGGGGTAAGTGCTGCAATATGTATATGTCACACTACTCGAATGTTTGTTCAAGCGGGGGGGACAACTTTGCGACTGCATAGGGAGAGAATCTATTTGTGTAAGTGTAGTGGGGGGGGGTGTGAGTGTGTGTGTATACGTGTCTGGGACTTCTGGCTGTTACACCGTGGGGGGGGGGTAGGAGGTGAGCCGCATGCTTTTTGTAGCATACTTATGCGGGTCAGAGCTGCCCGACTCTTTTGCCTGAGCTGCATGGCATCATGCTGTCACATCGCAGATGTTTTTAGCACAAACACAAATACACACACACACACACACACATATATATACAAACATGTACAAAGCAACTCAGTTACATGGCCGTGCTAGCTCTTCTGTGTGTATATTTTTCGCTAAATATTGTTTGCTATTTGTTAAAGTCTCACATTGAATAAAAGTTTTCGCTTTAACCTAAAGGCAAGGGCAGTCACAACTGATGTGACTATGTGACTGTGTGTGTGTAGTCCGTTATGCTCTTATGAAAATAGTATACTTACTCGTTGTGAATTTTTGACTTACTTTTCCCCTGTTCGAAGCTCGCATAAACGTTTATCATTATTTTCGCAGCTTTTTCATTTTAAACTAAAAAGCTGCTCAACGTTCTACTTTATTATCTTTCTGCAAAATCTCTCCACACTTCACTATCTAATTCACGATACAGCGTTTTGCCACATCACTATCCAGTGGGGCCCACTGCCACACAACTTGAACTTCCAGGGCCAATATCTGAAAATTGTTGTTGTTATTGTTAAAATTGTCAAAAATTGTATAAACTGTAAAACTCTGGTAAACTATAATTGTAAAATAAAAATTTAAAAATAAAAATCAATTCTGCGGTCTCTCTGAGAAAAAAGTCAGAGAGCAAACGATTTCCTCGGTTCTTCAAGTTTGTTAGCGATCAGCTATCAATCGTTTTCCCTGTTCGCTCTGATCATTCGCCGACCGTTTAGTTATGCTAAATGAAACAAAGAGTCTTCTTTTTAGTATGTATGCGATGCTGGTGTTAATTATACACATCGATAGCGTATTGGGGTGTGCATGTATAAGTATGTGAAGACTTAGCAAATAGCTAAGTCTCAGTGTGAGAACATCAATGCTACTGTACCCCAAGCTAAGTTCGTGAACAACTCAAAGCGCTCAACTAAACCGAAAGGTCCTTGCTCAGCGTAAGGAAGTGTAAAGAATAAATCGGGTACCAGTTATTTACGAGCAATGTTATTAAATATCAATCAGCATCTTAATATAGCTTTATTTACTTTTAATTTTTCTCTGAATATATGTATAGTCAGAGAAAATAAAAATATAGTTGAGTAGTATTTTTGTTATTATTATAACATTTTCTTAATAGAACCAACTGCCAAAAATTTGTTTAAACATTTTTTTATATTAAAATATATA